AGTCAAGATGTGAGGAGACCAGAAAAATCATGAGAAGATTCCTGGGTTAGGATTTACCGGACTTTACATGGTAGCTTGTGATAACTTCTAGTAGAAATGCAGCCAAGGAAACAATAGAGCCATCTTCATTATTCATTTGAAGGAATTTTTAGTAGAAGAGTTCTAATTAATGCTTTAATAATATTTTAAAGTGAGTGCTAAAGGATTTGAAAATAAAACCACTGATAATGCTTTAAACATGGTGATAGAGTTTAGAAACATCCTTAAATCCAAGCATTTTTGAAAGAGGAAAAGATGATAAAGAGAAAATCGATAGCACAAAAGTTATATTTTTAAGATCTGAAGTCGGGAGGGGCAGTGATATATTTTAGAGAATGGAGAAGCCAAAAATTTTTCCCTTTATAAAACCAGAGATAGAACTGAGGGAATATATTTCTTTTTTCCAATCGGTTAAAAATCTAACATTCTACAAATATCATGTGCCTTTATTTGGAGGGAGCACATGGTCAACACTTAGCCAGCCTACTTGTGGCCACATCTCTGCTAAGTATTCTACATAGAAAACATCCAGTAGTAAAACCACTTGTCATGAAGAGTAATTTAAGGACAGGAATTAAAAAGCTGAAATAAACAGAATCCTTTTGATGACCATTTTCTTCAAAAATAAATGTTAAAACTCATTTTGTGGTGGCCAAGCTACTGTACCAGAACAAAAGGGACATTTTAGGGAAGATTGTAAGTGAAGAGTCGAGCAAGACATATTTTCTACCGTCACAACCCAAAAGAGAGACACAAAACCGCAATGGACACACTTTGGGGACAGGTGCTCAACATGCAGATTGAAAAATCAACCCTATACTCAACACAGTCCAAACTAGGGGAGCCACGCCGTAAAGGCTGAAACATCTAGGATAAGCAAATAAAAATTAAATTAAATTTAAAAAAACAAGCTGAGAGACCACATGATCAAATTCTACAAAAGCTCCTATGGAGCTGATGAAAGGGGATTGTTTATTAGGAAATTTCTAAAAGAGGGGGACATTTTTGGCCTGAGACAAATCTAAAGCTAATTTTTAAAAGCTTTGCTTTCTACAGCTTTAACGAGTGCATGAAATTCGTACAATTAGAGTCTCTTGATGATAAGCATTGGTCTTGCTCCTAACTATACTTTAATTTCCTACTCTGGAGCCTAGAAGGCATTCATGCTTATTAAATGTTTCTTAGATGGACAGCAAAGAAAGAACTATAAGTTTTTATTATTTTTCGTTCTAAGTTTCTTTCAAACCATGGGAGGGAGGGAGGAAAGACAGAGAAGGGGGAGGGAGAGACGTGAGAAGAGGAAAAGTGAGAGGGGAAGAGAGAGAGAGAGAGAGAGAGAGAGAGAGAGAGAGGGAGAGGGGGGGGGGGGTCTGAGAGAGGGGAAGAGAGAGAGAGAGAGAGAGAGAGAGAGAGAGAGAGGGAGAGGGGGAGGGGCTTCTTCTTGGGTAAGATGATAAGTCACAGTGTTCTCCCATTTTCCTACAAATGATGTGAACTCATTCTTCATGGCTGAGTAAAAGTCCATGGTGTGGACATACTACATTGTCTTTGTCCTTTTTTTCTGGTCTGTTGGTAGGCATTTCGGCTATTTACATAGTTTGGCTCTTATGGATTGTGCTGCTATAAACAGAGTTATGTGTGCATCACCGTAGAATGATGACCTGAACTCTTTCAGCAAAATACCCAGAAGAGATACAGCTGGGTCAATGGAATATCTATCAGTTTTTGGAGGAATCTCCATAGTGCTTTCCATACTATTATACTAGTTTATAGTCCAAATAACAATGTGGAATTGTTCTCTTTTCTCACCGTCTCACCAGCATTTTTACTTTTTATGTTTTTGATGATAGCTATTCTGACTGGAGTAACGTGGAATCTCAGAGTTATTTTGATTTGTGTTTCCTTAATGACTAAGTATGCTGGACATTTTTTTCCATTTACTTATTGGCCATTTGTAGTTTTTTAAGAGGTGCCTATATTTCATTTTCCCATGATGTTAGGTAATACGAATCAGAAACAGGAGGTTAAATATCTTATGACTTCTCCTATATGAGTAACTCAAAAGATAAATGAAGAGTAAAATAAAGGAGAGATGGTAGGTAATTAGAGATAATGAAGTAGATCAAGAGGATGAAAGAGAATCGATCACATATCTATCTCCCAAAATTAATGTAATGATTATGCATTACAAATATATAAATTTTTTAAAAGATAAGCTTCTTAAAGATATATAATATATATAATAAAATACATAATACACTAAGAGAGAGAGAGAGAGAGAGAGGGAGGGTGGGTATCCTTTTATTACAACTTTCTTGTTTCACCAGGTAAATTCTACCTCTTTCATTCCTGGTCTCTTACATATTCTAAGTCCTAATTTATAGGTTCACTGCTAAGCAATACAATCCACTAAACCAGGTTTAGCGTCCATTATAGTGCCCACAAACAGAGAGCAGACTTTACTTATTTCTCTAGCATTTTCATGACAGAGACCGTCTGTGCTAACCTAGCGTCTACGTGATCCAAGAAAGAATTCGCCAATGCCTTGTGCAGTTGCTCACAGCCCCAGACAATGCATAAGCAGAAGGGCATAGCGGAGTCAGACCTGTGGGAATCTGATGGGCAAAATACTTGATTCTCACTAGGGAGTTCAAGGAAGGCTCCACAGGACAATGATAAGTGTACTGAGCCTGGATGGATGACTGGGAGTAGGCGAAGAAGAGACATGAGGTAGGACAGGCACTGTTGGATCCCACAGTGTGGACAGAACTTTTGTTATATGTGGAGGTGTGGACAGGTGAGGTGGAAAGATGAGCTAGCTCCGTGCGGAGAGGAATATGTGTACCCTACCCTTGCTGTCTGACTCAGCCTCCCAGACGGCCCAGACTGCACAAGTGTTTGTTCCCCCTGAATGAAAGGCAGGCAGGATCTAGATCAAGCAGTAACCAATCTGATTTTCTAGGACCCGAAAAAAAGAAAGCTAAGAGTGATAAATCACTGAAACTTTAAGATATTGTCACTTATGACCTGTGGTTATAGTGGCTGTAGGCAATTTCCTTAGCCTCTCTGGGTCTCTAAACCTGCATTTTATGAATATAAAACTGAACCAGTGACACTTACCTCATACTATTGTTGCAAAGACCAAATGCAGTGTAGTTTTTGTAAATTGCCTGCTACAAGGCCTGGCACCTCACGGCACTCAATAACCGGCAACAATTACTACAAGTCTGTTTTACTGCTGAGTTTGGCAGCATTCAATGTTTGATATTATATCTATTTTGGCAAGGAAAACAGAAACAGACTGAAGCCCGTGATGGTAAAAGCAGCGCTCCGATTCTGTTCTGGTTTCGGCCAGGAGTGTTTGTTCAGTCCTAACAGCTAGCGCAAGTCCTCCTCTGGGACCCCGAGAAATCACCAGCCACTGGGTAACCAAAAGGCAGGCAGAAATCTGAGAGGCCAGGAGGGAGGCACAGACAGCCTTTGTGAAGAAAACATTTGTTCTCCTTAAAGAAATAGGATGTTTGAAAAGAAAACACGCAACCTTGGAGACACAGATCCCAACGTACTCACTTCAGTTTCCACCCCTCCAGATGGGCCCGCGGATCAAACCAGCTACATGATACAGGTCCTCTGCCAGGAACAGAACTCACTTTTTGTCCAGAGAATGCTGGGTTCCCACATAAAATAATTTTTTGCGGTGTAGTCAACTGTATTTGTTTTCAATTGCCATTTTCCAGAAATCCAGTGGTTGTTTAATTCCTTAAGTGCACGATTCATCTAAAACTCATAATATTCACAATCAATTGGTGGTTCTGGGTGTTGTTGACTATGCCTTAAAGAGTGCCCTGGAGGTGTTCCGAGCTTTAAAAATATCCCCAAAAAGTGAGTTAAATTAAACTGGTCTAGACCCAAACTTAAAAAACTGTCTTTGCTAAGGAATTATGTACATCCAAACTTAACTTGCTAGGCCGCCCTTGGCGGGGCTCTTGGAACAAAACAGCCCCAAAGAGAGGCCAGTGCAGCCTGAACAAAGGTACAACAGAAACACAGTTAAGGAACCCACGGCAGACTTCACTGGTCGTTTTGTCCTCTGTCCTGCCAAGTGTTTCCTCTGCGCAGTAATTGTTCTCAAGCCATCCCTTCCAGGAATCGGGATTTCCATCGCATCCACCACTCATCTAACCTTCTCCCTCACTGCCTGTCTCATGGACACCAGGGATCTCTAACCAAATTCTCCAGATCCCTCCACAAAATATAATTATTGCTTTGAAGCTGGTTTTAATAGTTTCTATTGCAAGTATCAAGAGATAATACCTTGTGTTTGGTTTATTTTTCTTCCCTGTATTTTTCTTATTAATTTTTTGGTCTTTTACTCAAACTCACCAAGTGATTATCTTACCTTCAATTACTATGTAAACTTTTCATCCATATAAAAAGCAATTAGGGACCTAAGGATTTAGGATGTATTTCATATTCTTAATAAACTCATATGTGCGTATATATGCATATATTCATAAGTGTTTGGATTTTGAAAATTTACTATGACTTTTCCTTTACTTTTTTATACATTCACATGAGAGTTTTATAGGCCACTAGTATTTAAGTTATTGTCACTTTTTTTCTGAGCAATTCCTCTATCTACGCTGTGGAAAGGTATAACTCATTACCTACTGTAGAACTCACAGTCATGAACAGTACTTACCAGTACAATGTTGAGGAATAGAGGAATAAGAGAAGAACATGAAAATGATAAAGCTAAATCTACTTGGTAATAAATTGGCTATCTATGCAAACCAGACCATCTGCTCAGTGTCCTTCAGAGGAGTTCTGTGTGGGGCGTCTCCGTCCATCCGTATCCCACTGCTGTGATGGAATACCACAGACCAGGCACATCACAAACAATAGAAGCTTATTTGGCACATGGTTCTACAGGCTGTGAAATACGGCATTGTAACACATCAGCAAGACAACGGTACACCTACAGAACAGAGAGGAGAGAAATCTGTGAGCCCGTCTTCTTATGAGGAGCCTGCTTCCAGCCTAACTAACCCACTCACGTAACAATGGAATTAATCCGCTCATGAGACGCCGCTCTTGTGACCCTATTCACTTGTGGAAGGTTCCACCTCTCAATACCATGACAAAGGCAATTAAATTTGAAGATGAGTTTTGGAGGACAGATGCAAATCATACCTCTTGGTAAGTCTTTAACTTCTCCCTGGCACAGAAGAGCGGTAGGTATAACTATCTTACATTTGTGAAACCCCTTAAAACTGCCATGGCCATTAGATAGGATTGATTCTGCTTATGTTCTACTGTCCACTTTTCCATGTAATTCTTCTCCAAGTTTGTAAAATTGACCTAGCTATAATATCAGTATTGTTGTAATACAGAATACCACCATCCCAGTGGCCAAAGCTTCCACTACCACTACCATGTGAATGTGCCATCATCGCCCTGCCACGGAACCTAGAGGGTTTTGTATAAGGTCAGCATTTCTCTGGTAAAGTCACCAAGGTAAGTCTAGGTAAAAATATAACCTACAGTTTACTGGCAACAGTTCACATACCAGTCCCTAAACCTACTAGTCTGAGATTATGACATTTCAACAGATGAAATAATTAATTCCACATTCATTTAAATTAGACAGTCAGCAAATAAAAAAAAAAAACTTTGCCTCAGTGAATGACAATAAATATCACCTTGTCAACTCACAGCCACTTCCTCCAACAGTGCTGACAGCCTCCTCTCCAAATTCTTTAGCATTTTCTACAATTTTCTCTGAGCATAAATCAAACTCAGTTCATAAATCAGTCATCATTAGAGGTCACTGTCTTAGCTCACATATCACATTTTAACTTTCACTATTAAAAGGTGATGCGCGCGCGCACGCACGCACGCATGCACGCACACACACACACACACACACACAGATTTTTTAATATGAAGAACAGCTTTGAGGCACTTACCATAAAATTCTAAACTATTTACAGATGGGAACATCCCTGGATCTTCACTTTTGTTAAAGATGTGAAATCTCATTCTGATTAAGACTTAGTGCTTTATTAGGTTGGTTCTATTCTAACAAAAGAAGAAAACATTTAAATGGATTCTACGTAACATACTATTTTAGAATTGATTTGGTAATCTTAAGTATAAAAGTGGCACTATTTAAAAACTATTTCCTATGTTCTCCCATAGAAAGTGTGTGTGTGTGTGTGTGTGTGTGTGTGTGTAAAAGTAAAGGACATGTATTGTGTTTAAATTATTGTTCTTGTGTATTCTAAGTTACTTTTGTCTTCTTAATCCACTGAAAGATTTATATTAAAGCCTCCAGATCTAATTGACGATGCTGTTTCTAATCTTGCCATTTATCTTTAAAAGGTTTATGTGTTTTCTCATTTTTCTCTAAATAATTTCATGGGAAAAATTTTTTTTTGAAAAGTGATAGTCTCTAACAAATTATTTTTCCTGCAAAATTAGGGTCGTATGAATCAAACATACCTTAATACTAAGGGCTTTATAATTTGAAATTTTTAATGTAGTAAAAAATATTAACTAAGAAGGATTAAAACAAAACTGCAAAATTAACTTTATATATATATTATTCTGGTTATTATTCAAGTTTTGAGGTATAATATAGATAAAATAAATTTCACAACTTTAGTAAGCCTCAATAATCATACATAGGCATATAACTGCCACCAAAAGCCAGATGGAAAATGATCTATCCCCCTAACAGCTTTCCCTAGACAGTTTTGCAGGCCATCCCTCTCCTGGCTTCTAGTACCAAGTGTCCACAGGTTTGACTTGCAAAACTATGGGTTAGTTTTGTCCAAAGGACATATTTCTCAGAATGTTTTCAACTGTTAAGCAATCATGACTACATTCAGGATTGTGTGCTGTTGATAGAAAGACATACAGATCATGTAGACATATAGACATACAGATCATTGAAGCAAGTTAAAGAACCAGAAAGCAGAGCCACGCACAAATGGTGGCTGATTTTCAACATTAAATTGTATATTAATTTATTCAAGAAATAATTATTGGGCTCCAACTATTTCCTAGTTACTGGGACAAGACCTACAAATTGTTCTTTATGAAAGTGATCTAGGGATGGTGCAGGGGAAATAGATATAACTCCCAACCTGCTAGATGTCTGATACACCGAGTTTATGTTCTCTAAAATCAAAGAATGAATTCTAGGAACAAGAGAGGTTATTAATAGGAAATATTTACTGAAGGACAGACCACTCCTGCCTGAGAGGAGCAGGAGGGGCCCCAGAAAGGGGGTTTTCCTGGGTTCTGCTTACAGGGGAGGCTTTACAGAGCAAAAACACAACGTGGGTATGAAACCTTGGGGGGATACAAGGTAGGATCAGCCAATAGGATTACAAGTATGACTGGTGAGGCAGTATTGATCCGCAGGGGAAACAAGTCACATAGCAAGAATACATGGAGAGAACAAGGACCTTTACCGGAAGGGATGGATCAGGAGGTCTGGGTCCCCCAAGGTGACTGATGCCTATTTAGAGCATCAATCATATGGTTCAACCCTTGGGCAAGTACTTCACTCTTTCTTTATCTTGAGGCCTGGCCTTTAACAAATGCACCTCCAGCCACAGTTCTAATGTTTTTATCTTATGTACTGACTTCAAGGGCTTATGCCTGTCTGAATTTCTAACTTGTCTGTCTATAATAAAAGCATTCAAAACTTTCTGCCCTCTTACAACTTACATTCTAGTTGGAGGAAAAAAATCTGAAAAAATGCATAATATGCCATATAATGATAAGTCCTTTGAAGTATGCACAACAACTGAGGCCAAGAACAAGTGTAGTAGATTCATCCAGGGGGAACCATAGGGGCTGAGCTAAGGAACATGGCCACACTCAAATCGCAGGATTTCACAGGGACTGTAAAAAATCTGGCTTTGACTCTGACCCAGGCAGAAGCCACTGAAGGGTTTGGAGTGGAGGGTAATACCACGTGATTAAATGTTTCAAATAGTTACTGTGGCCCACTGATGAGTACAGAGGACTAAGAAGAAGGACACCCAGGGGGCACAGGAAGTGTGGCTTAATCAAAGATTGATAGGGAGATCCTCAGAGATACTGAAGAGAGATTACAGAGTAAAAGAAACAAAGAATGAAAGAAACAGGTAGTAACGAAAGATAGGAGATAAACTGTTATCAGGATATTACAAAAACAAACGAACAAACAAACAACAAACAGGCTAAGCAGAGATCAACAGCAGAGTGACCAGTGTCAAGGGCTTCACAGGGAACAAACAGCTCTAGGATAAGAAAAGGCTGTTGACATGTGAAGGCCACTTGGAGAATTTGTAGTACAGCATCTGTACCATTCTAGGATATTAGTGGCTCATGCAAACATAAAAGCACCCAATAGATGACCTTTTTAAGGAGGGAAGGAAAATTACACACATTAGATGATGGGGGAAGTGAAGATTGATTTGGGGATAAGCTAGACTATAAATGTCTGCAGGTTGCGGAGAAAACCCCGGGGGTTTGGGGATAACTGCAGACAACAGAGAAAGCAAAAGAATGGGCGAGTGTTAGAGGGGGTAGAGAGTTGAGCAACTGTAAGAAAATCAAATCTGGTAGAACCTCCTAGCCACTTTCAGAACTCGCCCTTAGGTGCTGTTTCTTTTTACATTTCTGTAATGTTTGTTTCTTCTTTCCTAAAGTAATACATTTTAGAAGGCACCGGTTTCACTCAAATTTCCCACCTGAAAAGTCACCTCAAATGGATTTCCTCATCTATTCGCTCTCATTTACCTGGACATGTAAATGCGACCCCAGAGTTTCAGGAAGCCACAAGTCAGTCTTGTAGAAGGCATCTACTAGGTAAATGCAACCTGGCTGGGATCGTGTCTTACACCAGGATTTGCTGCCGTAGCTCGGTGAATACGCTGAGCCAGGTTCCATAATGCCTCGGCCCTGAGCCATTGAACGTTCTGTTTTGCTCCCTGATACACAACATCTGGACCTTGCAGTGCCGTCTGATTTCTAAGCAGGAGGTAGACAGGATCAACTGAGCAAGACTTGGGAATTTCACCCCCCACATCCACATCCTTCTTTAATTTTTCCTTAAAAGGCTCACACCCAGTTTCATTTTCACACACAAAGAGGTCCTTTGTATTTCACTATGACCAAGTTACAAAAGTAAATGTTTTCCTTTAAAAAGAAAGTGGGTGTGGATGATGTTTGCTGGGGTGGAATGTGACTAAAAACCCCCTCCTCCCCATGCTAAACTCAAAGGAAAATGGAGTTATGTTGAGCTTCTAATTTGGCAGCAATGCTTTTATTTTAATTATTTGTTTGTTACTTTGGTTTTTTCTTAATCTGTAAGGAATTTCTGAAAAATTTTAAATTTAACCATATTGGGTTAAAACAACTATTAAGTCTCTGAAGTGAGTAATACCACAGCATAATACAAGCAGATTGTTCTCTTTTTTTAGAAAAGGATGCTCAACTGAAAATTTCAAATATGTTTTCATATCACTGTGCATGACTGCATTCTCATTTTCTACAAGAGAATTTTAAGTGAGTGATGTAACCAGATACAGCTCTGTGAGAGCAAGTAGACCGGCTCACAGAAATCAAACACACAAGGAGGTTTCCTAACCACCGCTGCTCTTTCCTGTCTGGCCTTATGAAGAGTCAGGATCCTGCCTCTGCAAACCGTGAAGCAGACCCGTACTCCATGCACGCTGACTGGAAGAGGCCTTCCTGCCTTCAACAGTGCCCATCCCCTTTCCAGACTCACTCCTACTGCTCTTTGGCACGCCATCATGCCCTTCCCTCAGTTGAAATTTCCTTTGGGGAAGATATCTTAAGAAAATTCAAGGTATAACTCAAAAGTCTCAAAATGCTGTCTATCACAGCGACTTCTACAGTGAGCACAGAAACAACACAGTAAGGCAAAGAAATGAAGGGTTACTGGCACATTCAGCTGGCAGCTAGCACAACCTTCCTTATCTTAAGCACAGAGGCTTTCCAACACCCTTGAAAAGGACAAAAGCATTACCGTCCAATTCCTAATAATCTTACAGAAAGATCTGAGGGGCATTTCTAGCTGGGAAAATTCACTGATTCAATAAATATTCATTCATTTGAGGGCCTGGTGTTCACAATTTATATCATGATGCTACAATTCCACATTCCTGTTAGATTTCTGAGATGAGCTTTCATGAAAAGGTGCTCATCCACCCTGTGCAATGTGCTCTGATGTTCTCTATTCTGTTTGATTTTTTCTAGGGTTCCTCACGGACTTGATGACCCAGGTAAAAGCGTAGAATCTTCGGACCCTGCGTGAGGGACCAAGGACTTGTACTTCTTCGTGTCATCCTGCACTTCATTTCCGGTCCTGGGTGGGAGATACTCTAGAAACAAATGATTATAATGTGTGATATATTCGATCCCGGAAACTGAAAAGGAACTCTGACGAAACTAACACACCAAATTTGGGAAGGTTGGTCAGACAATCCCTCTGTGAGGGAAGAATTGAGATGAGAGTCATAGGATGCAAAGGAGGCAGACATGCAAAGGGGCAGCAGCAGTCCAGAGGGACAATCACGTTCCACAGAGCTGGAAGACGGGAGGAACACTGGCAGGAGGCCAGCACGTCTCCCTGCGGTGAGAGAGGAGAGGGTGCTAGGAGATGAGGTCAGAGGGAGAAGCAGGGGTACAGCGCGCAGGGATTTGTAGGCAATCATAGAGTTTGGACTCAATTCTGTTTGTCACGGGTAGCCCTTGAAAGACCTGAATTACGCAAAATCGTGTTATGTAGTTAAAATTATAAATCATTCTGTGTTTTGACTACCACTGTTGAAGATCCCACACCACACTTTCCTAAAGAAACTTACTAGGCTCCAGAAGTGACTGGCTCTCCACAGCTTTGGAGGCAGCGTGTACGAGATGAGCTCATATAGCAAAATATGGAAGGAATAAATGTAAGATTCCTTTGGGGAATGGGAACAGCAAGACTGGCAAAAATATCTATTTTCCTCACTCAAGTTCAAGAACGTCTAGGAACTCCCATTCTGAGGTACAAGATTTTAAAAGAGTTACCAAAAAAAAGAGGAGTTCATACCGAACCTTTCCAAATGTGGCATACAGTTTGCTAGTCACAAACTTTTATCTTCACAACGTGTATATTGACAGCTGTGCCTGAGAAAAGAGGTGAAGAGTTACATTTGCCAGTTTTCTTGGTATTCCCATTTTATTGCTTTTGTGGGAATGCAGTTCAAGCTAGCCTGCTATTTTATTTAATATGCCTCCTTGTAAATTCCATCCCTTGACCACGTAATTAATCCCTATATGGAAAAAATATTGGGCTTGTTGTTGCAATACCTGTGCTTCATACCAGTAACAGAATTAAATTTACTGTACCCCGTTCTACTATTCTACCTATATAGTTCTAAACCATTTTACATACCACGCAGTTAATATACACACAGACTGATTGTAACTTTCTCATAACTATTCAAACATGGCTTATATTTATTCTTCTTGGTTTCTAGTCTCTGAGCTACAGGATTTAATATAACAACCATCTTCTGTATTACTTCTAGAAAAGTCTACAACTCAACTTATGAACTTTTTGTAGGGTATGGTCATTCGAATCTGCATGGTGAATAGATCTTGATAACTATAAGTAATACAAGAGATAGTGTTTGACTCCCTTACTAGGCTTCCTTTAGCTACACTTTGCCTTTTATAGTTGCTCAATCTCTGTGATCTCTTCTTTTGATGGATGCTTCAGAAGTTGCTTTCTTTTATTACACCAAAATAGATGTGGCCCGCAATCTCTAGTACTACCTTTCTAAAGAGGAACTAAAACCTTTTCATATGTTTTTTGTCCAGAAAGTAACATGACAAAACTCTAGAAAGTCTACCGGTGCCCGGCATGTCTCCTACTTAATTCTTATCCCCGCATATATAAGGCTAGCCCTGTGCGTTATAATATGAGGCACTACATAACATCTATGTTCTTGGCATTGATTTGACAGTAAAATAAATCCTCAGACATTTTCAAAAGCTCAAGTTTGCATATGGAAATTGATTAGAGATCTTCAACTTTCCAACAATCTTTGAAAATCATTTTTTAAAAATTCTCAAGAAAAAAAGGCTAAATAATTTTCTTAATTATCACTACCTGGAAATGTATCCTGATCTAACATGTATAAGTATTAATAAATAACAGCTGGGTTTGAAGCAAAATTATGAAAGTAAATCATAGGTTTAACTGGTTATGTTCTCTTTAAGACAGATCAGGAAGACATATTGCTGATCCAAGTGTAGATTAATTTTAATTTGTTTCTATTGTATTTAAAGGCTGCTTTGTAAAAACTGATGATTATTTATCAAATGGAAAAAAAAAACAACAACAACAGGAGTTAATATAGATCCCTGATGGGAGAAAAAGAAAATTTTAAGGAGTCTACATGGGCACAAAATTTTGAGAGAAATGTTGATGAAAATTTCTAAAGGATCTTTTTTAAATTTTCCTATGCTTCTTGTTTATAGTTCTGTTTTTCTTCCTAAATCTCAGGGAAAATTAGAACTCCATATGCCTATAATTTAGACTTCTACAAACAAAAGGAAAAGATCCCATCCTGATTCTTGGCCCCACAATTTGCTTCATTTTATAATGTCCAGCTTGAGAATTACTTAAATAGGAGTTTATTTACTTTTATATAAAGATGATTTTAAAACTACTTAAAAATTTAATTGTTTCACCACAGCAAATTATCAGTTAGGGTTGCTTGGGGATACCTACCTGCTTGGACCCTCACCCTTGTACTGAATTGGTTGGATCTTCTATTGAGCCATAGGCATCAGCTGCAGCATGAATTCCCCTAAAAACTGCGATGGAGAAGAAAATGAACACAATATCAACCACTCACTTTCTCCATGCCTGTCCTTGCTGCCTCTGCTTGTAAGCAGTCTTCCGGAGTTAGTATGTGTTACTCTGATTGCAGTTGCTATAACTGAGTACCATGAACGGGTTTTTTTTTTAAATAAACATTTCTGTCTTACAGTTTCGAATGCTGCAGTGTGCAGGCTGAAGGGGTGAAAGTGATAATGTGGTGAGAGCCTTCCTCTGGTGGAGACTGCAGAGTCCCAAGAGGGTACAGGGCATCACATAGTGAGACTGAGCAAGCTTGCTAGTTTGAGTCTCTCTTCCTCAACTTACAAAAGTGACTTCATGACATCAGCTAACCTTAATGGCTCCTCAGAGGTCCATCTGGCCCCACTTCTTAATTCTTCATAATGAGAATTAGATTTCAACATGAGTAGTGGCGGAAACATTCAGACCAAAGCATGGTTGGTATCCCTTTTCTTCCAAATCAGAATGCCTTGCCACGTGCCCAACACCAGAAGTCAGAAAAAGAAGGAGGAAGAAAAGAAATGCCTTGACCTGAAAAGAACATTACACCTGGTGCTGTGGCTGGGGGAGCTAAATTCCTCTTTTATAAAAAATCAACCTGCTGGGAGTGGTGGTGGCACACACCTGTAATCCCAGCACTCGGGAGGCTGAGGCAGGAGGATCTCTGTGAGATCCAAGAACAACGTGGGCTACACAGTGAGTTCCAGGTCAGTCTCAACTACATAGCGAGACCCTGTCTCAAAAAGCCAAAAAACAAACAAACAAACAAACAAACAAACAAACATGTCAACCAGCACCTGGCAAGAGGGAGTCCCTAAGTTTGATTCCTGGTAAAAAAAAAAAAAAAAAAAAAAAAGACAACTATTGGAACTCTAAGTATATATATTTATTCACAATATGATCTGATGATTTGTGGAATTTCTTTCTGAATAACAAATAAGGAATCCACAATGGAATTTTCGAAAAAATAATTCAAAATAACACCCATGGAACTGTCCTTTTTCGTCCAACACCAACACGGAGTTTGCATTAAAGTGCTTGTGACCTAATTTTCGTTGCGTGAGATGGTTGCAGTGTTGTGGTCTGTTCCTCTTCAGTGCCACAGATGCAGCCCCGAGCACATCTCTCTGATGGGGTGCACGAGGATCAACAGCGCCCCCACTTCCTCAGCCCAAAGGCACGTCGCCCTTCTGGGGAGAGCTACTGATAGCGCACTTCACCCCACTGTACTTTTCCTTCTAGTTCGGTATCTTTCTGGGAGACCAAGCTCCACTGCAAAACGAACACGTTCCCAGTTACGTGCTGATTAGCAGTGACTCTGAGCAGTTGTACACTGATGAAATAAATTATCCATCCACCTTTAATTTCCAGGAAAATGGAAACTGCTAAATTTTTCATTTTTAAAGTAGAGCAGGTAAGCATCTCTTCTGCTTTCTGTGCAGTACAGCTCTGTTCTGGGAAAGCCCTGAAAGCCCCAGACTACAACAACAATATGCAATTTATGTTGACTTTCATGTCATTATTTTCTCAATTCTGTGTCCACCTCCAGAAATCCCCACTAAGACTCTATTACTGACATTTCTATGAATAGTATTTGTAGCTGAACCTACTTCATTCCAATCTCTAAGCAATTAAAAATTTTCTTCCAGTGACTTTAAAAATATTTCCCCATGCATGATTTACTGTTTAGATCCCAAACTAGAGAAATAATCCATCTTTCAAAGTGAAAAATGTTCAGTGAAATTGGTTAAATACAAACAATCAGAAAAAATCCAAGATTGTTAAGAGAAATAACAATTTGAGGCATATAACACCAATATAGGGTTCTGGTAAATAAATGTTAAAGGGTGGACATCAAGAGGTGTCTGTGCCATTTTAGTAAGTGAAAAAACAAATGCAGTGATGGGGAATATTTTCTTACTTGGGAATTCTGAGGAAATACAGGAAAAGCATTAGAAATTCTGGAATTTTAGAGGAATTCTCTAGTTGCACATTTGAGATTGGGGTGGGGAGAGGGAGACAGAAAGGAACTAAGAAGTAGGAGTCCTTGGGGACTTGGGCTTTCCAGTCTTGCTGTGTTTTCATCTGGAATGCATTATTGCAAGATCCTTCCTTACTAAATCCAGAATCCCCTTTCTGAGCTTTAAACTAGATCTGTTTTCTACTAAGAAAACTACTGCAAAGTTTTCAATTAATTTTAAAGAACTGTAGTTTTGTGTTACTTGGAGAAATCGTTTTTTTATTGAAGACAGACAAGTAGAAAGTCTAGAAAATGTCTACACACGTGCAGAAATAATGTACGAAGAATGAGAGGAAAGCAAGCAAATCAACTGGAGAGAGTGCCAAGGTCCCTGAAGGCATTTCCACTCCTGTCGGTGCTCGTTCATGGATTTTAGGCAATAAATTGGAATTTTTAACATGAACTCTTGAAAACTGTATTTGCATGTCTCTGCTGGTTGCTTTGCTGCTTCAGCCTGAAAATACTTTTCAACACTACCATTTTGCCATTGTGCTCCGTTGCCTGTAGGACTTGGCCTTTATCTTTGCTTTCCTAAAGTACTGGAAGGACCTCTTCATTGGTGTCCCCACCGTCTACTCCAGTTCTTTCCAATTCTTTCCAACCCTTAACCTCACTTTCACCACAATAAACTTGAAATGAGAACAAGTATTACTGTGAGCAGGATTATCCTACTCTGCTTCAATCACTCCATGACATCCCACACATCTTAAAGAATGGCCTCACCCCCACCCATTCTGGCCTCTTCTGCACCTCCTAATGCTGTTCTCTGGTCAACCAGGCTCTTACCTTCCCTCCTTGCTCAGATCTCGAGTCAAATACCACGTCCTCTCAGAGAAGCAGTTCCTCACCACCTCGCATTCCAGATCAGAAACCCTTGGAATAGCTCAGAGCACCTCTCCTTGCACTCCGTATGCACCCCAGCGTGTCACTCTCGTCCCATTGTGTCGTCATTTGTATACTCTGTCTCTCTTTGAGTGGACTGCAGGTTGATTAAAATCAGATACTCTGCATTATTCACAATTATATAAAATAGAGTACCTGGCATTTAACAGACAGGGTGGAATAAATAAATGTAACACAGCAGACATCGCTGGCTAGTGAATATCACTAATATAAACATTTAAAGGTACCCCCTTTTCATTCAAGATTATTTACAATAACAACATGGACTGTTATGAAGTATATCATGCAGAAATTTCATAAAGTATTTTTGTCAACTTTATTAGTTTCAAAGCACATCCCTTCTTGTAGTGACTTAATAAATTTTTTACTTTTTTATAACTAAACACAAATTTCATTGAAAATTTAGTCATATCACCTAGTCCATAGCGCTTAATTCTTTTTCCACTTTATTGTCTTAAACACCATTTCTTCAAGGGAATTTTCAGCTACGTGGCCTTCTAAAGTAAGGCCAAAATTAATATTCCTTGCAGACAGTGGCTCTCCACACCCTGATTCAGAAGCAAGTTTTCTTTCCTTTCTAGTATGCGCCATATTCTGGGACCTCGTGATCGTTTAAATACAGCCAGAAAATAGGCAAAAAGAGGGCAAAAAAGGCAGAACTTCTTCTTAAAGGACAAAATTTCTTCCTCATTTTTATTGGTGAAAAGCTTTTACGTGGCCACACACAAGCTAAAAGGAAAACGGCAAGAAATATAACCCAGCTCCACAGCGGTTTGAAAAAGAGATAAGGTTGAAGATGCTCGAGAAGCATTTGCCTGTCTGAACCTTAGGGTCCACTGAAGTGTCTGAACGCTCTGTGCCATAAAATCACTTTGCCATTTGCTTTTAAAACGTTTGCCTAAAAACTTTTAGCCATGGTAGTAGAGAGGCAGCTCCAGTAAGAAATTTGAAATTGGTGCACTAAGGTTTCAGCCACTCAAGGTTAATTATCTTAACTTTTTAGCTACCTGCTGCACCATATTCCAGTAGCTGCTGCATAGCAAAACAAGAGCTAAGATTCTGGTCAATGTTAGAACTAAGATTTTCAACAATGACTTCTATCTATCCTGATAAAACACTACCCCTCCAAGCCGCTGGACCGAGAAGAAGGGCTTTTCACGGACACCACGAGCACAAAAACAGTAGGATTTCTAGCATTTTGAAGTTACCAGGTGTAGAGGTGAGAGAGAAGCAAAATAATGACTCTGGATCAGGAAATTTAAAATAATGAGATTTGCCCTTCCACAGATGTTTATACCACAGAGGCAGACAAGCCTATCTGAAAGGATTCTTCAAATTCTATTACAAATGCTTTACAATTACCCTGAGTCTCCATATTATTTAAGGGATTTTTGTAGTTTGGTTAAAACAAAAAATTATATTTTTAAATCCTACAAAATATCCTATAAGTGAAATAAAACAAATGTAACTAAAAACCAAAGCATTTAGACAATTATAAGGCAGAAAACATAAATTTATGTAAGAAAACTATTTTCTCCATACCCATTTTTCCTACTGCAGTTGTAGTTTTTATTCATCCCTTCATCTTACCAAGCATCAAAGCAAGAAACAAAGAAAGAGATGTTTTACTCACTCTTGATTCAACCACATCCGGTCTATCAATCTGTGATGTTTGGCCTGTACAGAATTCGACTTTTCCTGACCACTTTCTCTCTGAGTATCTGGTGCAGAGCCCATGGGGTTTCTCCCCAGAACTTCAGTAAAGTTTTCTTCCCATACAGGCAATTTGACCACCACATGCCATTTCTTCTGCAGCCTTACTCCGTGTTCTCCTAATGCTTAGAAATCACCTCCATGTTATACTGGACTTTCCCAATTTCGCCAGGGTACTCACAGGTGACGTGGCTGGTACAACAGTACCTAAATCAGTGGGCAGTTATAAATGTTAAATGAGAAAGCCTGAAAACTTTCATTCACTTTTTCTTGTAAATATTTCTTATAAATTCAAGTTCCCCTTCAGCTTTTTAACTTGGTGCTTAACTGCCTCACACAGAGGAGGCTCTCCACAAAGGTGCTGAATAAATAAACCAATAGTGATGGTATGAAATCAGAACACATACATAAATAAATATGAAAACTTCCATCAGCTTTTCTATACCTACACATAAACATGAGTCACTTTTTAAAAATGTCTCCATTTTACTTTCATTTAAGAAAATATCAGGGCAGGGGATTTAGCTCAGTGGTTCCGCCACCTGCCTCGCAAGCACAAGGATCCGAGTTCAATCCCAGGTAACAACAACAACAAAAAAAAAATCAAAGGAAATCAACATTCACCATAACTGCACAGAATATCATAGACATTAGGAAGTGTGTGAATTAGAATTGTTATAATATACCCAAGCTCACCCACATAGAACATTATGTGTACTAAGGAACCTTATTTAATAATGAAGCTAGTAATCCAAAAATTGTAATGTGGGCGAAGTACAGTTGTGAAGAAAACTCTACCTCCTGTACTGCTAGACTGTTTTAACTATTTTATGACATTATTTCTACAAATTAGTATTCTACATATTTTGAAGTAATTTCTCTGAGGGAATGCAATTTAAATTTCAGGATAAGATCTTTTGTAGTGAGGCAGATATATTTCTGCACCAGTAGTCTCAGGTCCAAATCTCTGAGGAATATTCAAATCAGCCACTAAAGAATCCTAGGCTGAAGAGTGGAGTCTGTTCAACATACAAAACCTCAGGGCTATTGTTAAAATTCCAGGCAAACTAGAAATGACTTGAGCCAGACATTACACAGCGGTGTACAGACCTCCAAACCAGTGGTTCCTCCCTGGAGTACTTTTAATCATTTTAGGAGAAAATAGTTTTATTTTAAAAAGTATAAAACCTGGAATCGTATAGTGTTGGAGAAAAATGTTGGACAAAATGACCTTACAAAGTAAATGCCTTGCTCACAATTGAACACTACAGGCAAAGATGCTAGAAAGTTTGAAATCCATAAAGTGAAAAAACTGGAATTATAGATACAAGAAGTATATGCTATTTTGAGTAAAGCTCAGCTTTATTTAATTGCTATTTTTGGATTAAATCATAAAAGCCTCTCTTTTTAAGCAGTTCTTTAGTTCAAAAACTTCGATGTAAATAGTCAGGCTAACCACCTTACATTGAATATGTTGTAATAACAAGTTCACTCAGGATACCAACAAAAGTACTAAAAATATTTTTAAAGCTTGAAAGTTTTATTCTAAAATTTATATGGAAAAATAAGCCATAGTATTCATTAAAGCTGTGTAAAAACAATGGAAGGGATTAGTCTGACTATATAGTAAGACTTACTACATATATTAATGAGTAAAGCAATGTTTAACTTAGTGTAAATAATCAGGTAGGCCAAAGAAACAGAACAGAAATTCCAAAATAGACTCAAAAATATAGAAAAATATAGACTTTTTATATTAATAAGCTACAGATGCACATTTAATAATGGAGATTAGGACCACTGGATATCTAGGGACCTTGTTGGGTGAATTTTCAACTAGGGAGTCCTTTCTAAATATACTGTAGAGTCCAAAAGCTATATAAGATAAGTCTGATAAAAAAGAGTACTCAAGATTAAATATGCCAATGTGGAGAGAAGGAAAATCTGTAAGAATACAGACTTAGAGAAAACAATCCAAAAAGTCATTTGGAATCAGAAGAGACCTAGAATAGCAAAAGTCATTCTAGGCAACAGAGACATAGCCGGGGGTATCACAATCCCCAACTTGAAACTATACTACAAATACACTGTGATAAAAACGGCATGGTACTGGCAAAGAAAAAGACCTGAGGATCAGTGGAACAGATTAGAAGATAGAAAAACAACTCCTGACATACTCAGCTACCTCAACTTTACAAGGGAGCCAAACACCCTCAGTGGAGGAAAGAGAGCCTCCTTAATAAATGGTGTTGGAAAAACTGGATTTCAACTTGCCAAAGATTAAAACTAGATCCCTATCTTTCACCATGCACTAAACTAAAATCCAAGTGGATTAAAGATCTAAATATTAAAACAGAAACTCTAAACTTGCCAGAAGATAGGTAGAACTTTTCAAGTTATCAGCATGGGAAAAGACTTTATGAACAAATCCTCAGTAGTATGGGAACTAGAACAAAGAATCAACAAAGGGGATCTCATCTTTTTAAAAAGTTTCTGCACTGCCAGAAAAATCACAAAGTAGAGGTAAGAGACAACCTTCAATGTGAGAAAAAGTTTTTATCAGCTGCTCCTCAGACAAAGGACTATTATCTATAATATGTAAAGAACTCAAAATATCAGACCCCTCAAGTATAAAGACCCAATGCAAAAATAGGCATCTGAAATGAACAGACATTTCTCACACAAGAAGCAAAAGCAGCAAATAAATATATGAAAAAATGTTCAACATCACTGATCATTTGAGAGATGCAGATGAAAACACTGAGATTCCACCTCATACCAGAAAGAATGGCTGCTATCAAGAAATCAACCAATAACAAATGTTGGCGGGGTTGTGGGGAGAAAGGGACTCTTGGTGTGAGTGCAGACTGGTGCAACCACTGTGGAAATCAATATGGAGATTCCTCAAACAACTAAGATTGGAAGTCCCATTTGACCCAGGTATTCCTCTGCTGGGTATCTTTCCAAAAGAATTAAAAGAATCATACCACAGTGATATATGCTCACCCATGTTTATAGTGGCACAGTTTGTAATAGCTAAAACATGGAAACAGCCCAATTGCCCATCAACTGGAGGCTGGATAAAAAAGATGTGTTTTTTTTAATACACATATAATGGAGTGCTACTAAGCCATAAAGAACAAGAAACTAGAGACGTTTATAGCTAAGTGTATGCACATTGAGGCCATACTCAAGTGAAATTAATGTCACATGTGTAAATAGCAAATAGTTTCTCTGGTGTGAAAAAACTAAAAGTGTATAAGAATCAAAATGTATAATTGATATTATGTAACAGGAAGAAAAGGTCTAAAAGAGTAGAGGAAGTGGGAGGGGTAGGGGAAAGTAAAAAGGGAAAAGAAAAAATATATGAAAAGGAAAATCATGGAAACAATGTCTACATGAACAGAGTAGGGTGGAGGGGTTGAAGGGAGGGCTGAGGGATGGGGAAAATAAGAAACAAGACCTGTCATGTAAGGGTACAAGATCCCAATGATGAATGTGACTGTATTGTATACCTAAAATGTACCAGTAAACTTAATAAAGGTAAAAAGAATACTATAAAATGAATCAACTTGGGGAAATCTTGGAACATTTATTATAGATAAAGACAAATATCCCTGTTATGTAAAGAGCTACTTTACTAGAAATCAACAAAAAGATAAAAACTATGATATATCTATAAAAAAATGAAGAGACTTCATAGAAAAAGAATGGCTTTTAAACAACTGAAAGATGTTTAATATCATTCATATGAAAAATATAAAGTAAAACTATATAGTTACAATTTTTACTTAGCAATAGGGTAAAAATCTGACTTTATATTGTTGGTAGGAAAATAGTAATACTCACATTCAAGAGAATTTGGCAATGTCTAACAAAATTTCAGATATATCTTTGCCTCTGCAATTTCATTTCCAAGAGTTCATCCTACTAATCCACACACACAAGTATGAAATGACTTACCTCATGTGTGCACAAAGATATTCTTTGCATCATCCATTGCCAGTAAGAGTGAAAGACTGGAAACAACCCAAGTAACTGGCAATAAATAGTTGAATAAACAATTCACAACCACTCAAAGCAATAATATGTAGTTTAAGAAAAAAAATGAGAAAGATCTCTATGGTCTGAAAAGAAGAGAATGTTTCCCTGTTCTATTTTTGAGTAATTTCTGTTCACAGGAATCCACAGGGAGAACATGAATCTACATCCATTTACAAAGTGATACAAAGGAAGAATAAAGAAGAAATCAATAAAAATGTTTACCTCTGAGGATATGGTTATAGAATAATGTGAAAAGGCATGAGTAAAATACAAAGAAATCTGGTCAAGGGAACAGGATGAAGCAACAGAAATGGAGGCAAAACACTGTATGTATTCAGACGGTCTCCAGTTTACAACTACTTAACTTTTGATTTTTCAGCCTTATTATTGTGCTAAGTCAATCCTCATGCAATGGAAACACTACTTCAAATTTTGAATTTTGAGTTTTCCCTGGCCAGGCACATGTGACGTACTCTGGTGGGCAGCAGTAGCAAGTTCCACTTCCCGGTCAGTCACTGATCATGAGAATAAATAACCAATGCTCTACAGTGCACTGTGTCGAAAAGCAGTAATGTTCCATGGGTTAGGTGTAGTAAGTGCTTTCCAACAAGGACATTTTCAATTTACAAAGGATTTATATGGATGGAACTTCATGATTGAAAATATAGTTGTTCATAATTTTAACTTTTGAATCATGACAGTTCATTGCTGTTCAAAATTTTAAAAACTAAACAAAAAACAACACCCTAGTACTCCCATTGTTTACTGAGAGCCTCAAAGTAATATCAGCCTGAAAGTAATGAGTAGTGCTAGTACCAAGACTTGGTATTTATTCTCATCTTCTGAAAGATCAGACTCATTGGTTAGCCAGCCTATTTTAGAAATAGGATATAAAAAGGAACACCACAAAAGTCCGGGTGGTCTTGAACTAGAAACAAAGAAACACCCCCAAATCAATGGAGTCGTACCAAAAATTACAGAGAGGACAGTTTGAAGACGTCACGGAGCCAAAGTTATGCCTTAAGTGAGCAAGGAAAGGATAGTGGA